AGAGAGAGAAGTCCAGGATGGTTAGTGGGAGAAGGCCCAGGCCCAGGGCCCAGGACGCAAGAGCTTGCTTGGCACAGTCAGGGTCAAGGAAGACCAGGAAGCCAGTGTAGCTGGAGTGGCAGGGAGAGGGGATCACAGGATGAGAGATGAGATGGAGTGGGAGTGAGCTCACAGAGTCCTGTGTGCATTGGGGAAATGGGACATTTTATTTGGAGTGAGCAGAGGAGGAACAAGATTGCACCATTTTAAAAGGATCCTCTGGCTCCTGTGTGAACAAAACACTTTAGAGAGGAAGAGTGGGCACAGAGTGACTTGCTAATGAACTATGGAGCCTGTCAGGGGGCAGCAGGGCAGTAGCAAGGACTGGTAAGATGGAAGCCTTTGCCAGCAGGTGCAGGTGAACAAAAGAAGGCCGAGAACTGGGGAAGTCAGGGAGTGGGTGCTGTTGATAGCGACCAGCGGGTGCCCTGCAGGAGGAAAGTGCTGGACTTATCTGTGACTGCCTACATTTGAGAGGCCTGGGAGACTCCCGAGTGGAGATCCAGAGCTGGCTTTCAGGTAGAGGCCAGGGCTGGAAAAATGTGTTCAGCAGTCTCAGCTCAGGTATGGTATGTACAGCACAGAGCCTGGCTTTGTTTGTAAAAGCACTGCTCATCATAGCCGAATGTGGGAAATATCCATCCATCAGGAAATTCACCTGCTACCATGTCATTTGATGGAATATTTAACCACCTGGTTAAAACACATAATTCATTGCTTTCACCTGTTATACACTTGAGGCTTTCGTGCCAAGGAAAAGAAAAGTTAGAATTAGTGCTGTGTTACTTCCACCAATGAGTTCATGATATGTACGGCCTCTTCAGCAAGTCACCTCTTGGGGGTTACAGCAGTCCAGGGCCAAAGGAAACAGAAATTCCTTTTGTGGAAACCACTGTATTTGAGAAGCCCAGGATAAGTAAGTTTCACTGTGGGAAGCATCGTCTTACCCATGTCGGCTCCTCACTCAAGTCCACTCACTCCTAAGACCTCCTGTTCTTCAGAAAATCTTGGGAAAAGAGCGTCAAGATGTCTTAGGAGCTGGTGTTCAGGCTGGACACGTGGGCTTCTCTCCCACTGGGTCAGCCATCACAGTTTATCAGAGGTTTTTGCCTTCCACAGTTTCAGTTACGCATGGTCAACCTCAGTCAAGACATACTACATGGAAACTTTCTGAAATTTACAATTCATACGTTTTAAATTACGCACCATTCTGAGTAGTGTGATAGAATCTCATGCCATCTTGCCTAATCCCTCTCAGGACATGAATCCTCCCTCTGTCCTGAGCATTTGCACTGCATATGCTATCTGCCTGCCACTCACTTAGCATGTGACTCAGTTATCAGATCAAGAAAACATAGTATGTGTAGGAATCAGTGTTGTTTGTGGTTCCAGGCATCCACTGGGGGGTTTGGATTGAACATACCCCCTCCCAGATAAGGGGGACTAACTGTATAGAAAAGGACTTTCCATATCTCGGTCCAGGGAGTACCAGAGAGCACCTGATCAGGGACACTATTACGATGATAAATTATACGCATTACATGCCTTCTGTAGGTAGTCATATGCCTGATTTCAGCATCATCTATGCCTAATTTGAGCATCATTTGGTAGCTGCTTTTGTGACCCAAACAGTCCATTTGGAACTGTCTAATATATACATAAGGTTGTAGGGGATGGGAGTCACCCAGTAGTAATGAAAGTTCCAATGTAAAAAGAAAATGGTATGTTAGAATGCAGCAAAGCCTGACTTGTTGACAGCTGCATCCCAACAGGTAGCAGTAGTCATCACCTAGGTCTCCCACCGGTCCTGACTGTTAGCTGTAATTTACCAGCTTCATGAAACATGGATCATCTTCCACCCTTATCTCTTTGAGATGGTGGTGGTGGTGGTGGTGACCACCCCACTTAATGACTTGGGTCAGAGAGCTTTTGTCCTTTGATTGGATTAACTATAGAAGCTACGGATTCTTGACACCAGAGAGACAAATATGGATTCTCATTAGAATTATTCTAGATTAAGCACACATACATGCAAGAATGGAGAAGCAGGAATCAGCATAGAAAAAGACAAACAGTAACAGCAGTGAAGGACTCGAACCCGTTACTGTAAAACTTTATAGAAGACTTTCTGGGATGGGTTCTGTCCCTGATGGGCCCCAGGGGCTGTGCCTGCAGCCACAACACTACAAGGCCTGCTCATACACATACATCTAGGATCCTCTGTGTGGGGATTTGGACGTTTAACCGCCCAAATAAGAACATTCGCATCCAGAATTTCTTGCTACTGTGCGCAGTGGTAGAGGCCAATCTTCCTAAATTAACCCCTCTACATGGCCTAGGGGAGGAAGAAGGAAAACAGAGCAGGTGGGAGAAAGCCCTGCCACTGGCTCCTTCGTGGAGAAAGTCGTCCCAGTAGGGACACTAATGAGATGGAGCAGAGCATGCTCACAGCTGGGCTGCTGGAGGGAAGCAGCTTAGACCCTCCATCCCTGCCCACGCTGCCATCCGAGAGGCGGGACCTACTCGCATGTGGTGAAAGGAGGGCTGAGGGATAAAGATGGCTGCAAATTCCTTAACACTCTTTCTTTGATGGGTACATGTGGCTTCCTTCCCCTTGAGTCTGAGCAGGCTGTGACAGCTTTTTTTTTTTTTGAGATAGAGTCTCACTCTGTCACCAGGCTGGAGTGAAGTAGTGCAATCTCCACTCACTGCAACCTCCGCCTCCCGGGTTCAAGTGATTCTCCTGCCTCAGCCTCCTGGGTAGCTAGGATTACAGGTGTGTACCATCACACCCAGCTAATTTTTGTATTTTTAGTAGAGACGGGGTTTCACCGTGTCGGCCAGGCTGTTCTCGATCTCCTCATCATGTGATCTGCCTGCCTTGGCCTCTCAAAGTGCTGGGATTACAGGCATGAGCCACCATGCCTGGCTGACAGCTGGGACTAGCAAATCTATGGTGGAAGCGAAGCTGAGCCTGGTCTTTCAGAGCTCTGGAAGCATCTACTCTGGGTCTCATGGAACCTAAAGCTGCCATGTAGAAAGCCCTACTTCCCTGAGGGATGAAAGGGCCAGTTGGAGAGTCTCTGAGATTCCATGGAGAGGCCTGAGCCTCCAGACATCCTTGCCAAGGTCCGAGGTGTGGCAGCGAAGCCAATTTAAACCTTCTAGGCCAGCCCAGACTCTAGCTAAAAACCACTCGACGACCCTTGCCAGTGCCACTTGGGCAGATGAACTGACAAGCCGAGACTTGCCTGAATTCCTGATCCACATTCTATTACCATAAAATCATGGTTGTTAAGCTGCTAAGCTTGAAGCAGTTTGTTACAGGCAACAGACAGGTGGAAGTAGAGAGCGAGCATCTCCCACTATCTCAAACAAAGGGCTTTAGTCAGCCCAGACTGCTGTAACAACACCACAGGCTGGTGACTTCAACAACAGACATTTGTTTCTCACAGTTCTGGAGACTGGAAGGTGCCAGCAGATTCGGTGTCTATTGAGGGCCCTCTTCCTGGTTTGCAGACGGCGCTTTCTTGCGGCGTCCTCACGTGAGTGGAAGGAGGGTGAGGGAGCTCTCTGAGGTCTCTTTTACAAGAGCACCAAACCCATTCATAAGGCTTCCCCCTCATGACCTAATGACCTCCCAAAGACACCACCTTTCACTGGGGCCTTTAAATTAATGCAATACCATCATATTGTGGGTTTCTATTTGAACATGTACACTTGGGGGTGATGTAGACATTCAGTCCATAAGACGGCCCCTGCGTTGGTGGGACCCTCGAGCACCAAAAGCAGGGCAGAGCCTCTTCTGCATCATAGGTCGGCACTTGTCTTCACAATATCACCGCATGCAGACCTGAGAGAGCCCGGTGCAGCAGCCACGGGACATGTGGAATCCATCCTCATCCCAGGATGCGGGACAGGGACTGTATCGTAGGCAGAAAGCACTCTAGGTTTGCCCCTGAGAAATGAAGTCAAATGGCCCAGGGCTAACCTCCTTCAGGATCTGGACCTAAGTCTTATTTCTCAGATTTGGCGATGCCTTGGAATCACCTGAAGAGCTCTTAGAAAATATTGTTGCCTGGGCCGCATTCTCTGAGGGCTGAGCATTGAGATTTTTTTAAGGTCCCTGGACGGTGATGGGGGGACGGTTCTCCGTGGAGCCACATCATGGAGTGGTTCATCTGCTCTATATGGGCTATCTTAAAAAATATGTCCAAGATACGGCATTGCAGGGTAAGGTAGCAAAACAGAATATTAGAATGTCATTTGTATTAAAATGTTAAAAAGAGAGCGTATGTATATGGATAAAAATTATGCAAAGCAAACTAGAAAATCTTGGTACCTAGGGTAGCAGGGTAGTGTTGTTATTAATTCTGTTTGTTATTTCACCAATGAGTTTTAAATTGCAGCTGTGGTGTGGCGCATCAACAGCTGCCTGGAACCTCAGGGTAGGGCGCCTTGGTCAGTCCCACCCACCCCAGGCATGCTACCATCCAATGGGCTTTGGTTTTATAAATGACTCCTCCCATCCAGCCTGTGCCTGAGGACTCAGCAGCTGGGAGTATAAGCAGACACTGGCCTCCAGGGCTGCCAGGGCAGAGTGAAGTAGCTCAGGGTGGCTTAGTGGGCACTGAGCACACCAGGAGCTGAAGTGGGGCAGGAGGACAGGCAGCAGGCGGAGTGTTCCAGGTGTAACTGAGGCCACTGTGAGAGTATGGGTAGGGGGGCTGCTTGTGTGTAAATCGATTCTGGCAAACTAGCAATCTGGATACAAGTGTGTGTTTGGTGGTCAGAGATGCCCAGGAGATCTACAACCCTTGCAAACCTCATTCATCCTTAGCAATACAAGATAGCACTGCCCATTTGTGGGGAGGAGGCTGAGATCACGAGGACCAGCTCGTATATAATGTGAAGCCTGGCTGTACACAAATGAGAGATGACAGGGGTCAAGCATCACTTACCTCTGCGATTAACAGGGTCCTTAGCCACGTATGCGACATAATCAGTTGTGTCCTGTTAAAGAAAAAAGAAATGTCTATATCACTAATCACAAGTGAAACACCACACAGTTAGGGACACAGGGCACGAACCAGAGACTTTAGAGGGACTCAACTACCACACAGCTAAAGAATCAAATGCTGCCTAAGGAACTGCCCACAAAAGACCCAAGCTATATAATGTGAGTAGCAACCACCCAGAGGCCTTACATTGTAGACTTTGACTCAGCAGGTCTAGGTAGGGTCTGAGGCCCTGCCCTTCTACCCAGCTCCCCTGTATACTGAAGCTGCAGTGTCTCAGTATCCACGGGAGCTGGTTAGAAGGGCATTCACACTTTGAGCAGCAAGGAGAAAAGGCATGTTGGATCGCCTGAGACACTTTAGAAACACGGATACCTGTGTCCCAATGTGCAGATAATCTGATTTAATTGGTTTGGATGTGAGGCCTTTGCATTAGTTTTTAGATACTCCCTAGATGACTGTAATGTGAACCAAAGCAGAGAAGCACTGCTTTCAGCTTTGTCTACACCAGTGGTTCTCCAATTTGAGCTGGTATCAGTATCCCCTGCAGGGCTTGTTCAAATAGAACGCTGAGCCATACCCGAGTTTCCAATTTGGTAGGAGTTCTGGGGTAAGGGCTCAAAATGTGCATTTCTGACAAGTTTCTAGCTGCTGTTGGTCTGGGGGGCCACACTTTGAGAACCACTAGGCTAGAAGAAAACCAGAGTGAATATTTAAAGGCTGACTGCCACCGCTGCCTTCGTGGAGGATGAGATGTGATGGTTCTTTTCTTCTTGGACATAAATCGTGATCTTCATCCTTTAATATGTTTTTAAAATATGAGCCCTATTTAGAAGTCTCATCCTTCTCTATGAAATATGAGTTTCTTTGCCTGCCTTCGCATGTAATCAGTGCGTAGGGGACACCATGACCCCAAAAGCAGAGCAAGGCAGCCATGTCCGCTTTAATTCCTAAACAAATAAGCAGAGGAAACTATAATTCTCTTGAAAGCAGAAAGGACTCCTCTGCAAAGCTGATATTTTCAACATTCAAGTCTCCATGGGGCAGCTGGTAAATGTCTCCCCCATTTAGGCAGGCATTTCCCAGATGCCATTGCTTTGAAGGGTTTTCAGGTTACTGACACACTCCCGATATTGCCAGAACCGAAAAGCCTCTGTCATGACTTCCTCCATTGTTTTTTTCTGTGGGCAAAGGAGACATCCCTTTCTCGCTAAACCGCGCCCTACAAAGCTCTCCAAGGAGAGAGGGATGAGGGAGAGAGTGAGTATGGGATGGGCATGTCACTGTTGTGGGACATCTGCCGTAGGATCAGGTGGGTGGTGCTGGGCACTTCACACACACCATCCTGCTGGATCTTACACAGCCCAAGACCACACCAGTGTAGAATTCTTCCAGTGGTTCTTGAAATAACAGTGCTGTTTCCCGGTCACTCAATAGGGTGTGGCTCAGCTGAGCTGTTTTCTTTTCTGCTCAGGACACTGTTCCCTGGTGTATTCACAGACTCACTAGGGAAAGGAAGTAAAAGATCATCCCCCTGGTCAAACTGGCTTCTGGTCATTTCTGTCAAAGAGAGTCTGGTCAGAATCTGAAGTTATCGGCAAAAACAGGGGTGACAGCTTGTATTCATAGACACTTCCTGAACTCGTGAGATGTGAATGTCAGAAGGATCCTTGGAGGGCATCTAAGAGAGCACCAGCGTTTCTCAAGCTGAAATCCCTGAAACCCTAGGGTTGGACAGGTGTCTTCTCCAGTGTTTGAGATGCTACCAGCATTTTTTAAATTTTTATTTTAATTTCCGTGATTATCTTAAAAGTTAACACAAGAGTATCTGGAACCATTTAGATGATCCCTGTGTTATCAAGTTCTGCACGCAATTTCAATGCCAGGATTTGCAGTCGAGCTTCCAACATTATGAGTGCTAGGTTTCCAAAGAATTTAAAGGAAAAAGACACAGGGAGATTCCTTTGCCCACACAAAGCAAATTGACATTACATTTGTACATGATGTACAACTGAGGTTTTTGCTTGAATAGAAGAACTTAGTGGAAAAATTGAGTCATCCAGGTGCCCATGGTAATGCGGAGACGTTGAACTTAAAAAATTCTGCCCCTTCGTGGCCGGGCCAGCATCACATTGAGAATGGAGACTTAGTTTCAGCGATCTTTGTCCACGATAGCAAAGTAATATTACATTGAATGTCATTGGCCTTTACAATGTTTACTTCTATTTAACTTTCATTTTAAGTAGGGTTTAGAGTTAAATAAAAAGTATAAACATAAGAAGTTTATTTTTAATTTATTTTTGCACATATTCAGGTAATAAAATTAGAGTCAGCATTAGTAACGAGTACAAGGAAATTTTTTTTACATCCTTACTCTGGCTCAAAGTGGGGAAGGAGGGACAATAGAGAGATATAATATGTCTCTGTCTCTCAGATGGTCAACGGCCAAGCTTTTTTGATGCCAATATTCATCTTTTTCTGGCAAAGCAGGCAAATATATTACCATTCAAAACAATGCGTTTGTCATCTTAGCACTCTAATTTCCAAAGACAGAGCGGCAAAGTGCTGTTCTGATCTGTGCTATCCCTGTTCCCACTCCCCAAGACCCTCTGAGCCTGGCCGTTGTTCTGGCATTCCTGTGGTGGTCTTTTAACACTGCCAATTACAGTAGGTTCTAACTACACCATGCCCTTTTTAGAGGGGAATTAATAACATTTTCTCGTCTATCTTGTTTGCCATTTCAAAATACCATTTTCCTGCTGGGTAAACGGAAGCGTTAAGCAGTAAGTGACATGTACACTTAGCAAGAGAACAAAGACTAGAACATAGAATTGTCAGCTTTATTAAAATGTCTACCGGTTATGTGCTAAATTCGTGGTTACAAATCAATTTGGAATGGAATCTCATACACAATACAAAATGCATTTGAATTTGTTTAAATGGAAAGTAACTAAGCTTCCTGTCCTGTGTTATGACATTTTATAAATCAGAAAAAAGAAATCACAGAAAATATAAAAGGCTGTGGATTCTTTAAAGATTACTAAATGTTTCCAATTTTTTTTTAAATAAGAGGTGATGAGGAAATAAAAAAAAAATGTATAGTCCTGTGTACATCCTGAAAATAAAATAGTTTTGATACAAACCAGTGTATTTGGCTTCCAGCAATCTAGATATTTGTGTCTTCACCCATAATATCAACATTAAAACAGGTTTAAGAAAAGCTCTTGAAGGAAGCTATTAATGCAGATATATAAGACGATGTGCCTTTTATCTGTCACACTGGGTTATCCTCCAAATTTAAGAAACAATGGTTCCAAACATCGCAAGGGGCAAGCAATTACACAACCACTGCAAATTAGGTAGCAGACAGGCGGACAAATACATATAGACAGCATCTGAAGAAATGCTCCTTGGGTCAGGTACCGTGGCTCATGCCTATAATCCCAGCACTTTGGGAGGCGGAGGCAGGTGGATCACTTGAGCCCAGGAGTTTGAGACCAGCCTGGGCAACATGGCGAAACCCTATCTCTACTAAAAATACAAAAAATTAGATAAGCGTAGAAGCATATGCCTGTAGTCACAGCTACCCATGAGGCTGAGGTGGAAGATCACTTGAATCCAGGAAGTCAAGGCTGCAGTGAGCTGTGATGATGTCACTGCATTCCAGCCTGGGCAACAGAGTGAGACCTTGTTGGATAAGTTCAACTGAGGGAAGACTTCCACTTTCTAAATATGCATCTCAATGAGGACTTTCATCTTACAATACAATGTAAGAAATTATACAGATTAGAAAGAAAGGAAAGGTATAACAAGGGAAGAGAAGAAAAAAAGAAGGGAAAGGCATTGTGGCTGACTTTTGACAAGAAGACCCTAAGTATGAAAAAGGGCCCAAGTCACTTGACCCTACGGAATGGCACAACTTCAGAGCTAAACAGTGCTCTGACCATCCTTTGACAATTTAGCAGAGATATAAGGGTAAAGAACTGTCTGTTGGGTGGGTAAATCCTTTCCCTGCAGAGGGCCCTTGGCTTAAGGGTCTGAGATGGGATTGCCGGAAAGCCACGGGGCCCCAGCCTCTCATGGCAGCTCATACCGGCCCAGGCAGGAGTGACGCCCAGCATGGCCGTGCTATTCGCCTCTGGCAGCTGCCCCAGCAGAGCAGGGAGAAGTACGGCTTCCCTGGTGCTGAGATTGGTGGCCTGATTGTACTGTTCTTTGGAAATGTCAAGGCTCTGGAGTCTACCTTTGAAGTAGCTCCTTCAATTTGGCTTCCAATATGCCAAGAGCAATTTTCTAATCCAGTTTCCAAAATAGAAGGGATATGAAAAGAAAGGTAGAAAAGTTACAGGGAAAAGCCTCTTCTCGGGCTAGAAAATGACAGGGTCCCCAACACTGAGATGAAGAGATCTTGGACCAGTAAACTTTTATGTAACATCTGAAGATTGTCTACTCATAATCTGGCTAAAGAATGCAAAACACCAGGACATCATTTTATATTAAAAGCCTATTTAACACTAAAAAAGTAAAAAGGATGTCTTCTTAGGATATAAGATAATTTTTCAGTTGAATACATTCAGCTCCAGGAAAAACTCACTCTATTATCTTAATTTTAAAACTTTTCTCCAGACTGGTGGAAACTTTACCTAGACGCATGAAAATTCAGATGAGAACATTCTGGAGGGTGAGCCTTCCTCTCCCTCACTTCTGGAAAGGGCTGACTTTGTTTTCTTCCCTTTCCTTCTGTGCCTCACTCCTTTGTGACCAATTTCCTGCCTGGCTTCTTCGCAGGCCTGGGCTGTCCACAGTGATGGATACCGCCCTGCCCAGGGAGCAGGAGGTGGCTTTCTGAGTTCACCTTCCTAACAGTACAGTTTGTTTGGATGACATGGCCACTCGGAAGCTGAATGCCGATATCCTATTGTCGCGTTCCTGCCCAAACGTGGGAAATGAGTTCCCTTGTTACTCCACCTTCTTCTTTAAAGACATGAAGCAAAAATGGAACATTCACATTCTGTTCTCAAGGCTCCCTCGTACTCTCACTCTGCAACTCCCTCCTTGTTGGCAAAGCAAACTGTCAAAGGCTACGGGATTACACTTGGAAAGAAAAACGCTGATTTTCAGTGGCTGTGAATAAAGCAGACTAAGTAAATTCACGTTCTTCAGGCAGACTTAAAATATTACTGTGGAGGTCAAATAAGCAAAAAAATAGGGCGAGGGCAGAGTGACAGCGTGAGAAGCCCGTGGCAACTCTCAGGCCTGGGGGGGCTGTTTCATCACCTCGTAAGAATGCCAGTGCTTCCAGGATTTTCAATGGCTTTTGGCTAACGAAATGAAAACTAATGTAGGGTCCTTGTCCCAGGTTACCCCTAAAAATAAAATGATGGCCAAGAAGACCATTTATGGAAATCAGGAAGGGGATATTAGTTGGCATCACAATTAACTTTTTTTTTTACAGTGTCTTGCAAGGCACATTTTTGAAGCAGGCAGGGATCCCTTCTCAGAAATTCTCAACAAGAGCAAGCGTATCCCAAGGGTACTTACCGGGTCTCCCCCAGAGGCGAAGGAGATGGACCGCATGTGGTGATTTGCTATGATCTGCCAGGCCCAAAACAAGAAACGAGAATGTGCTGTTATCGCCCTTGCCATATTTTGGAAAAGCAACTGTCTGTTGGCAGGCATTACAAATTGACATGTTTTCCCGAAAATTGGTACCTATATAAAAATAACAATTATAAAAGTAATAACAGTCGATCCCCTTTCACAAGCTGATGGCTGCTGTCCAGCCGTTTTGTCAGAACAGTGCCCGTGAAGCCTCGCTGCAGCCTGGGAGGCGGGAACTCTCGTCCCCCCACTTTACAGGTGAGGAGCCAGAGCCCAGAGGGGCCAGGTGGTTTGCTCAAATTAAGACAGCTGGTGATGAGCAGAGCTATGATCTAACACAGGAGGCACATAGAGCATCCTTAACACAAGTGACTCCATCTTAGAAAAAGACTCCATCTCATATTTTAAAAGGCAACATCCCAACAGGTACCAGATGTTTACCTAACTTATAAAGACAGCACCCAACAAGAGAAGGACAGGAAAAGGCATATTCTTATAATCAGTCCACACCAGAGGACTCTGGTCATAAAAAGCAGGACTTCACCAGCTTGAAACAGTCTTCTTAAGAGACACCACCATGCTGTCACTGTGGTGAGCACCCAGCACCTGCCAACGAAGGCTCTGCCCACATCAAAGACTCTTTTTTGAAAGACATTGTTGTCCATCTGGCTCAAGCCAGGACATTCTCTTTGTCCATGTCATTTGCGTGGATTGGTTTATTAATCCCTGCTCCTATCCCTTTCTCTTGATGTTAAATGTTACGTGGTTTGATGTGGAATGTCCAACCTGCAACATTTATATACTGACTGAGTATACTCTTATGTATGGTTTACAGTATTGACTGACCTGTGGAGTGGCTTGAGCCTATGTATCCACAGCACTGATACGGAGCGAACTCCATGTAGCTCATGGTTTTTACGATTAAAATAGCAGTAATAAAAGTCTGACCTTGTGGAAAGACACAAATGTGCATGGACCTGGTTATGTCTAACCTTGAGTCGCTTATGAGACGGAGGTCCAAGCCGAGGCCAGGGCCTTAACAACCATGCCTCTTCCAGAAGGACACTGTCTCACTCACACACCAAAACATCACACCTTATCAATTCTGTTTCCAAAAACACGCTGGGGTCTCCGATACAGAAACCGCAGCTAGAATGGGAGGAAATGTGGCCCATGTTCCATTTTATCCTATCTGTACCACGTGCATATGAATTGGAAAGCTGGCATCCAAGATTCCAACCCGGCACCATCTAAAGCGCTCTTGTAATTTACCAATTTAAAAACCAGAGCGGACAATCTATGTTAATTTTAAAATGGGAAATTTCCATTAGCTTTATAAACTGCAGAGTACAGTGGAATTCAGTAGACACGGAGTAAATTAGAAGCTGCCCTAAATTTAAAAAGCTACGTAAGTCTGCTGTGCTAATTTTATCTTTTTAAAGACAATGAAATGACATTGAAGTCAATTTTCGGGGGTGGGAACAGAGCTCATTTCTATCCCATCATAACCAGGTTTAGCAGAGCAGAGTTCCCTCGGGCCCTTGTCCTCGGGTAGGCAGTCAGAATGTACACAGCTGTAATCAAACATCCCAGGGATTTGTCCAAACATGCTGCTGTGAAACTTGAAATAAAATATAACTGAATTGTAACAGAAAATAGGACAGTTTTAAATGCCTACTTTGGTTATTGGCACTTACAAAACCTCAGGATCTGAGTTTTTAGAAAACCCTGAATACATAAGTGAATAGAAAATGAGGCTGGCCGCATAGGCTGCACCCAAGCCCCAGCTGAGTTAAACTAAAAATAGTGGCCTTTGCGGCTCTCTGGAATCTTCCCTCTGGCACAAAGGTAAAGGGCTCCTAAGACAGCAATCACCAGAAAATGATAAACTATGGCTCCCAAAGTTTTACATTTTTGCTTATAAGGCAGGTCTAAAACTGGGAGTTTGGAAATTAAATTGGAAACTCTGATTTGGGGAAAAAAAAATAAAAGTCATATTAGGTCGACGTGATGCATGAGCCTTATTGTGTGATGGTATGTTGTCTCGTTGGGTAAGACAGAAATTAGAAGTCAGAGTAAGAAAATTAGAGCTAATTGACCTAAATCACGTGCTTTGCCCTGAGAGCGCTGCGTCTCATTTCAACTCTGCAGAGGGAAGTGGCCGTTGTCTGGCTGCTATCTCTCTGGATGGAGAAGGTATTGTAACCCAGTGAGCGCAAAATCACCACCAAGACAAAGACTAGGCCAAATCACAGGGTCTTTACTGCTGGCGGCCAAGGAGGACTCATGTCTCTCTAACCCATGGCCCCGAAAGGAGGGTGTCAAGACCCTTTATGCCCATAAACCACTTCCTGGGTGAGGGTAAGGGGCTTCAGACATTCCGAGAGCCAGCGGACTTTAGACATTCCATAAACCACCTCCTGGGCAGGAGTGAGGGTGAGGGGCTTTGGACATTCCGATTGTTACTTAAGTGGTTCACAGAAGTCAAGATAAGTGTTAGTTTACACATTGTCTGGGTAGAGTGGGAATTACAGACCTTTGTCACTTATTACAAGTCGCAGGGGCCAAGATGGCGTGGGTTTGGACTGCTTGCCTGTCACATTAGGGTTACAGAGAGCAGTTTCAAAGGAAAGCTGAGGTATGGTCGAGGTATGCAGTTTATGGGGCAATTACCGTGTCACAAAGGGAGTGTCTAGCCAGGCTGTTCTCAATTTGCTACAGTTGGACCAAGAGTCAGCCAGAAGGGAGAGCCGAAACCTTGTGTGCTTGCCCCTCACCTAACCTTCACACACTCATCAACAAAACTTCAAGTCACCTGGGTGTCCCAAACCTGCCACATTGCCCCATCCACCCAAACCAAGGGCAAAAAACAAACTGGACTCTCGCTTCGCCTGCCACGTTCCAGGACAGAGAGGGCCAGCCCAGTGCCTCACCCGACTGCTCTCAGTTTGCTTTCTATTTTACTGAGTGGGGAAAGGCAAGTTCAGGGAGATGATCCCACAGATCTAAGGAGTCTGAGGACCAAACAAAAGGTCCAGGAGACGCAGGAAAGGAACAGCTCGGGGCACGAAGGAGAATGCAGAGGTGAGCCGAGCCCACAGGCCTTCACGAACAGCTCAGCCTCAAACTGTGCCAGAGAAAAGAATCCACAACCTCCAGAGCTGGTGAGCTAGACAAGTTAAGATAAAAAGACAAAAGGAATTACCTATCAGTCCTGTGAAGACAAAAGGAGCCAGAGAGAAGTGGTATCTAGTTATGTCAACCCAAAGCCTGGGTTTTGCTTCCCATTTCTGTGCTAAAGCTAGGATTTATTTCAACATCTTGGGTGGCAAGTGGGGGAACAAATTAAGCTGGAGATGCTGCTCACTAACCTGGGGAATATGGAAGTCAATCGACAGAAATATGTATACTAACATAAAGGTCACTGCAGGCATCCCTGGTGACAGTGTCAGAATCAGGTGGAGTATCATAGAGAGAGGTCCCGTCTGAGCTCCAGCTCCTACTGCCAGCCCCAGAAACTGAGCCAGAGCAGAGCAAGGGAGGGGAGTTCACACTCTACACCCTCCCGGATACTGCACAAGCACAAATGAGATACTCCTATACCTCATTTGACCTTCAAACGTGCCTTTTTGGTAGCTAGAATAGCGACTCAAACACTCATTTTTCCAGCTAAAGAAATTAATGATGACTAGATAAACCTAAAAGATAGACACTATGCAGGAATGAAACCATCCTTAGTAAAATTAGCCTTCATTTAACACTGTGGCTGTGGTGCCTCAGTCAGCCCCAGATGAATTCCACACTGGCTATTCCACAGACAACATCACTTCTCATCACACCCACAACACTGTGTGCCACAAGATTCTCCAAAACGATGAGCCACTAAAGGAGGAAAAACATCATCAGTTAGACCACGACATGCCGTCCATTTCAAAGGTTATAAATAAAATGTGGCCTGTCAGACCGATTCAATATGGTATAAAAGAAAAAAATAAGGGCAAGGACATTAAGAAGAGACTTTGCACAGACAGAATTTTTTTTTACATTGCAAGTACGTCAATTACTTCACGCATTATCCTCCCAAAAAATAAAGAGCAGAGTTAAAGAGAGCCTATTTTATTTATGCTTCTTTTTGGTGACCCTTCAAGTGGCAGAAGTTCATAGACTAGTAAAAATTTGAGGCAAACATATGCTATGTGAGCTCACTAAAGCTACAAGGAGGACACCTGCAAAACACTTATCACCGAGGCTGTGGGCAGGGTCCCTACAGGAGATCTGAGCACCCACGTACCTGTTTGGAGTCCGGAGTTCGCAGGTTCAGACTGGCAGTGGAGATGGTCAGAGAGATGCTCATTCCCGCAAACTGGAGATTGCTCTTTCCCAAGATGCTGGACAGCATTTTGCTTGGAGGCTGTGAAATTAAAGAGCATTATTTTAGCTGTTTGCTTTCCATCTCAGAGGGTGGGTATGCATCACAGAGGATGTAGATGCTTGCCATACCCACAAACTCTCACTGACTGTTCCTCCCTCCTTAGGCACAGGAAGGCAAAATGTGAAATGAGTAAGCGGGGAGTGTCCGAAGCTAATACGCACATTTTAGAATATGCAATATACACATTGTAAATCATATAATATGCAAATGCTGAGGTGAGAACTCTTGCAGGCAGGCAGAGGTATCAGTCTCCCAGGCCTTTTCTCTGACCCTGTTGGGAAGTGTCTCACGGGGAAGCCCTTGTATGTAAACCTGGGGAAAGCCCACTCACATTTTGCAGGCTCAGCAACCTGGTTTTATCACACCTACTTTAGAGGCAGAGTCAAACTAACTTAGAGGAAGATTAAAGCAGGCCAGCTCTAGGGGATTACAGGCATCCCAGAGAGTTGCAAGGTTGTTCCTGGCCGAAGGGAATGGACCACACATTTTTTGCTGCAAATACTCTCCCTGGTCAAGATTCTCAATGGACTGTCCTGTTAGAAACTCATGAGCCTGGAGCCGCCATGAGGATAGATAGACATGGCCTGTCTGCCTGGTGTATCTGTTGCCCTGTCAGAAATGTCCTGGCAGGGAACTGTCAGCTGTGTTTTCGGGCCAGGGACCTTCTTCCCTGGTACCTGGATGGCACTGCCCTTTGGAACCAACCCATCCTTTCTTTCTGGATTAGAACACTCTCTCTTTGGGTATGCTAATTCGCTCCTAACCAGGTTCATACCCTTTTTAATCTCCTAAAGGAGCTATTTAAAAACAGAGATGCTTAGGCCCATGAGATTCTGGGTGGAGTCGGGAAATCGGCATTGTTCCCACCAAAAGAACCACGAGTGTGTCCCAGGATGAGCTGGGACCCGGAAGATGAGACTCCCCATCTCTGTTCTCAGTCGCCGCCCTTGTTCCTGTAGTGGAGACTCTGGAGCCTTGCTTGTTTCCCCATGGACTGGCCAGAACACAAGCTGGCACGTCTGAGTCTTCATTCAGTGTTCTCTGCCAGAAACCCAGCTGCCCTGTGGGTGCATGAAAGTCCCCAAGCTCTGAAGACAGAAACAAGATAGAGCTCTAGGGTCAGCAGAGTCAAGCATGCAGCTACCCAGATGATCTGGAATCAGGAACGTGCAGCCTCAGGGCAGATTCGGAGGGTCTTTGAAGGACATTTTCTCCCCAATTCAGGTTAGGCATAGAAAAGCCTTGCGGATATTTAGTTGAGTATTCACCAGACGCTTAACTGAAGAGGTTTTCATGGTTTCTCCAAATCCAGGCATTTTTCTCCTAATCCCATCTGGCTCAAGTATCTTCAGGATGGGCCGGGCGCGGTGGCTCAAGCCTGTAATCCCAGCACTTTGGGAGGCCGAGGCGGGTGGATCACGAGGTCAAGAGATCGAGACCATCCTGGTCAACATGGTGAAACCCCGTCTCTACTAAAAATACTAAAAATCAGCTGGGCATGGTGGCGCGTGCCTGTAATTCCAGCTACTCAGGAGGCTGAGGCAGGAGAATTGCCTGAACCCAGGAGGCGGAGGTTGCGGTGAGCTGAGGTCGCGCCATTGCACTCCAGCCTGGGTAACAAGAGCGAAACTCTGTCTCAAAAAAAAAAAAAATATCTTCAGGATGCAAAGTCCTGTGCAGTGTTTGAACATGCAGCCTGTGCTCTCAGACACCACCCACCTGCATGTCGCCCTGTCCCCTCCATGACACAGTTGTCCTCATCTGTAACACGGGGATATGCAGTGGTATTCTAGTGCTGGCTTGGCCCAGCTGATGGGAGCCAATTATCAAATGTTTCAGAATTTTATATTCTAGCCATTAATCACAGCTATTATTAAAAATAAATATATCTAAACTTACAATTAAATAAATTACCTTTAAAAAACAGACAATAAATACTCAACACGCATCCATTCCTAATTCTTTTGCTGCATTAACTACTAACTGCTTATCAAGTTATCTGTGCCCATAGTACCTGCGTGGTGGAAACATTTTACAACCATGAGCTACTACACATCTCTTCCCGACTCCATTTTCAAGGGTTATCATTTTGAGAAATTGAAATCGGCCACAATAGAAGTATTGACATCACAGAAATCAGAAAATGTTACAAACTCTATTTCTCATTCCCCTGCCCAACCTGGAGAGCTGGTTGTTAAACATTTACCAGCACACCACTGGGGACATCTACCTCCGTTGTTGTAATTAAGTGAATTGATGTATTGAAAGTGCTTAAAGGAAAGGCTGACCCTGTTTTAAGTGTCTGTTGTTACCATTGTCTTCGGAGTTTAAGCCACAGTGAGTGAGTAACCAGGGTGTCTACTTCTGGGACAGGGACAGCCAACCGTTCTCAACCAAGGGAGCGAGAAAACAATCTAAGCCCTTTCTGCTCTTAGAAGTAGCAAGAGCCAGGCCACAGAAGGAGGACAATGAACAATTCTGTGTGACTGAAAACACGGAGTGTTGAAAAAGAGCAAGTAAAGGAGGAGGCACGGTTAGACACAGAGCGTCGAGGACAGTACCTTTCTCTTCTTGAAGGCTCCCTTGGCACCAGGCACAGCTTCACAGACACGGCTGATGGCTTCCCTTAGGACAGGAAGAAAAAGCCATTTTATCATGTGTCAGTCGGGATTATGGAACCCAGAGATGCTACACTTGCACATCCAAAGAAAATAACTGCCTGTTGATTGCAATATAGAAAAAACACCTGCCAGTTTGGGAGTCAATTAATTTTTTTTCTAAAACACAAAACTAAACAAAACGCAGACAGGGCATCGTAAAACCTCTCCTAGCATTATTCTAGTTCCCTTTGTTGTGGTGGCTGGATGCTAACAGAGTTATCTGTGTCAATCCTACACTTTTTTTTACATTTTGCTAAGATTCTATTTTTGTGAGGCAGCACCCTAAAATGTACTCTTCCTGACATCATGGCGCTCTCTCTATCTCCTTAGCTTTGATCGGGACATCAGGCCCAAACCTAATCAACCACCTTGATTGATCAAGATCCGTCTTAAGTGAGTTAGAATGTAATTAAAAGAAATCTGGTCATCTGAGTTTTATTCCCAGTTTCTGCCGTTAGTGAATCTTACAAAATCAGGAGGGGTTGGAAGGAGAAGAGGAACTGCAGGCTGTATAAAGGAGCCAGCAATGAGGTGAGGTGCAGGACAGTTCCATGGAACAGCACTGGTGAGGCTGCTGGGGTGTGCAGGTGTGGTGTGCAGGTGTGGTCCTGGTGGAGGAGGCAGAGTGCCCTGGTGCTGAGGGGCCAGGGGGCAGGGGTCGAACACCTGGTTCTGCATGGGGGCAGGAGGGCCCCAGAGGGTGAGGAAGCAAGACAGGACGGTAGCAGCTGAGGGCTAGGGGTGGCAGGAAGGGGATGCTGGAGAGGAAACACAGCTCAACCTCATGAACCAGCCTAAGTGAGAAATGCCTGGGAGGTGGGCAAAGGCGGCTCCAAGTCAGGGGTCCAGAAAGGAGCTGGTGACCTTTCCCACTCACACATGGAGGGGAAAATACTAGTGCATGGAGAAAGATCAACAGGGACTTGGAGACACGGTGAATTAGAGAAGAGAACAGGTCCTCAAAACATTCTAGAAACTTTCTAAGCTCTATACTTCAAATTAATTTCTCACATGTGGATGAAAAATAATCACCATAACAACACAGTGTTTTCAGAAGAAATATGTCCATATCAGTTAGTCGAGAGACTATTAGGACAAGCTTCCCATTTGCCACGCAATTCATTGTAGAGAGCAGGGAAGGAAACATTTTCCTAAAAGCTCAGATGCCAGGAAAACCGTAGGCAATGAATCATCATGACATGGAAAAATTGAAGCAAGAAACAAATGTTTTTGATGTTTACGCTTACTCCTATTTATTTTATAATAATATTCTAACTGTGGTTCTATCAAAGTGACCAATCACGTATCATCTAACGTACTTTCTCAAAGCTAATTGCTTATTAAAGAAGCTCAAATTGTTTCTTTACGGAACTATATAAACCCATTATCTAGGTTTTATCTGTTTAATTTTTAGAAAACCAGTTCAGTGAATCTCTGCATTGTATTTCTTATATTAAATGACATACTTAATTGATCAAGGCAGCTAAGCCTCTGATGGTCCCAGCAGGGTACAAAGATACTATACGGGGAAGTGTCTCCCTTTAATCACTCCTTAAAAATCCCTGATAAGCACCATATTTATTTTACATTCCACTAACGTGAAGTCTAAAAGAAAAAATCAGACTCTGAGGACAGTTCTCCAAAAAGACACACAGTTATCAAATGTCTCATCCAGTCAGGCCCCGGAGCTTACAGCAGGACTCTGGGCCTCCTGTGCTCCTTCTGGGGAAGAGAGGTGGAAACTATGCACCCCCAGTTAGAAGGGACTACAAAGCTCTGAAAACAGTCAACATTTCTTCCCAATACCTCCTCACACAAAACAGAATGCACAGGACTCAGGGCACACTTGCAGATAGAAGAAGTTCCACATATTTCTCAGAGCTTGTGTACTCAGGGGAAATCCTAATAATCCCACTTGTGAGCCTTTAGAATCCCCAAAGGAGTTTTCAAATCAAACTGCTTTTTAGAAAAATGTTCTCTTTTCATCACTGGCATAAATTCCTTCCTAATGCTCATATGATAACACATGTGTGTGAATTCTCATTTCAACCACGGTGATGGTATCTATTTCTGTTTGAAATAGAAATGCAGCATAACTATTAATAACTGCAATATTTAGATGCCTGGAATGAGTTACTTTAACTCTAAAATCTAATTTTAAATGTAACTATTCTCAACTCCCCTTCTTGCTGTTTAAGTGCAGTACATTTTGGTAAGCAGTGAAGTTTAAATTTGTTCGTTTAGCAATCATTATTTAGTTTTATGTAATTCCACTTAATCCCTATTTGAATCTCAGGTACCAATTTTGCCCTGTTTTTAATCAGAGGCATTGCTTCTCAACATCCTGTTCAGTACGACCCTGTTTCTGTGAGCCAAATCATGACCTCAGAGCTCAGCTAATATGAAAATGGGACATTTGGCAACTCTCTGGTCACTGAAAGTCACGGAAGCCAGCCCAACACTAGATGTGAACCGTAACTGTCCTCATGATGTCACCATCTTCCCTTCTGAACTGGACCCTTTGAAGGCACATAGTGGCATCTTTCTCGCTCCTCATCCATCTCACTACAGCCATTCCGAGGCCCCACAAGGAAGGACCTATGTGACAGGCGTGGATCAACACATATCAGTAGAGAAGGAGTTACCCACAAAGCAGCATTTGAGTGAGTGGGCAGCTACCCAGGAAAAGAATTCCGTTTGGGCTCCTATCTCTTGCCTCATATGCAAATAAATTATAAATGGGTCACAAATTCAATTCATTTGTAATGAAACAATGAAAGGAGTAAAGAAAACTGGGAAGAATATGTTTTAATTATCTTAATGGAAAAGTAACTAAAGTTATCTTTAAAATGATACAAAATCCAGAAGCCATAAAAGAAAAACATTGACACACTCAGGAGCATAAAAAAATTATGCACAAGCAAATATGTAACATTTCGCAGTCATCAAGGTAATTGTCTTAATAAAAGTCAGCAAGGAAACCATCAAAAGCCCAACAGAGGCTGGATAAAGAAAGGAAAGGCAATACACACGGCTCTGAAACATACAAAGACATGCCCAAGTTTACTTGTAACAAGAATGTAGATTAAAGCCTATACTGAAATTCAATTTTCACAGCCAAAGATTGAAGCTTTACAGCCCTTTGCAGGAAAACAGGCACCCTCCTCCGTGCGCCATAATGCCCTCCCGCCCCCACGCCCTGTGTGAGTTTCTAGCCTTTTCTGAGAACCCTGACACTCTAAAGTGCCAGCCTGTAAGCCTCCCCTGCTTGTATTCTCTTCTGGCCACTGTGTGACCGGGACCCTGAGTGAGTGTGCTGGTGCCATAAGAATATCCCACGCCCCTGCTTCTTTCTCATTCCATCCACTCAGTGGGCCCTGCTCCTGCCTGGGCTGGATGGAGCCTTGAATGTAATCCACTCACCTCCACACAAGAAAAAGTCTCCCATCACGTATGTGTCACCCCATGTATTTATTTTTAGTAATAAACATGTCCAGGCCCAGTAGAACAGTAAAAATCCTAAACTTCATGGAAACCTCTCCTCTTCCCTCCCTAAGGCCTGCCTAGGGAACCTCCAGGTGGCCACGGAAGAAAAGTGCCTCCTAACATTCCAGCTGCAGCTCCTGACCCCTTGGTGGGATAGGAATGACTGTAGGGGGTGATTGTCACAGAGAGGTCAGGTGTGGAAAGGTAACACTGACAGCCTCAATGCTGAACCCTCTGGCCAGGCTGATAGTACCCTGCAGGGAAAGAGGCGACCCCCTTGGTGCTCCTGGATGTCCTCCTGCCCTCATGCCCTGCGTGAGTTACTTGTCTCCTCTGAGACTCTCTTTGTGTGTGTGTGTGTGTGTGTGTGTGTGTGTGTCTGGCTCTGTTGCCAGACTGGAGTGCAGTGGTGCAGTCTCGGTTCACTGCAACCTCTGCCTCCCCAGTTCAAGCAATTATCCTGCCTCAGCCTTCTGAGTAGGTGGGGCCACAGGCGCACGCCACCATGTCCAGCTAATTTTTGTATTTTTAGTAGAGACAGGGTTTCACCATGTTGGCTAGGATGGTCTCGATCTCCTGACCTCATGATCCACCCTCCTCGGTCTCCCAAAGTGCTCGGATTACAGGCATGAACAACTGCGCCTGGCCTCCACTGAGACTCTTGAGACTAAATCTCCAGCCTCTAAGCTGTGGCGAGCACCTCCCCTCCAGGGCTCCATCCAACCTGTCTCCTCTCAGGGACACTTTCCTTTTTTCTTTGAAGACTCCTCCCCAGGAGCAGGGGGGCATCCGTGGGTGAAATGAACATTGTCTGTTCTTCACTCCACACACGCACTTCCTCCCAGCATCCACACCAGTGGGAAGCTTCTTGCTGTGAACATGGCTCCTGTCATCGGCAGAGAGCTGACCGGGTCGCATAGGTACCCCTCCCTGGACCGGCACCTCTGCCAGGCTGCAGCTGGAGGGCAGTTTCTCCTCAAACACAGCCACTCCCTCTGCATGCTTCCCTGTGTGAGTCGGACATCGGTCCATGGGGCCACCCAGGCCCTGGTGGCACGTGTCAAAGTCCTAGTCATCTAAGCCCCTCACGGACTCTGAAGTCAGAGGGACCCATCGCCCTCCTCCACGAGGACTTAGAGGGCAGTAAGAACTTGCTCTTACTCTCTCTATATCTTTGGGATGAGGACTGGGCAAAGTGCAGCAAAACAGATGCTCACCCCTCTTCCCAAACCCTTCATAGGAGGGCCACCCCTCCCTTGAACTGTCGGAGTCCTGTGCCCCATGGACTCCAGGCAAACATAACCAGAGTCCCATTTTACCCTGAGGTTGCCTCTCGCCCTCCTGTTTGAAGGGACCTCATGATCTCTGGGCTCCGAGTGCTTCAGGAGCAGGCGGCTCGCCCACCTTCCCCACTGGCCCACTGATCTCTAAGTATCAGAATTTTATACATAGATACCACACCCAATGGCTAGCTCCGCT